ATTTTGCCAATCCCAGTGCGGTCAGCGGTGCTTTGGATATTGAATGTCGTGTGGTGTGCAGGTTGTGTTTGTGAGAGTGTGGGTCGGCCAAAGCAGGTTGTAGTTGTGCAGAGTCAGCAGGGGCGGGCACTAGGTGGCCCGCTGCTGGTGTCACATGACTCATGGCACCGTCACTATCCCCACCACCGCCTGCTGCTTCACTCACATTTTATACCCATCGTAACAATATCGTCATCTTCACTATCAGGACGTGGTGTAGGGCCACGGGATGTGCTCCGAGATGTATTTCCTTCCTCTTGGAAGAGCATATGGCACATACCAGACCGCATGCGACGTCGTATATACTGCCGTTTCATGGGGAATATTCACCCTCACTGTCACAACTAGAAGTGCTTTCAATAACCTTGAAATCACTATCACTATCACTTGCACTGCTCACATCTGAGTCTTGGTACACGGGCAAATATTTTCCCTCTTTCGTCCTGGTACAGGTGAATATGAACGAGCCGGCTAGCACCAGAGGTGGATGGTTGGGGGTCATCTGGGTTTTCATCACTAATTATGTTATCCTGGTAATTTTCTCGGTCACACCCGCTTCAAAACCAGGGAAATTTCACTTTCAATGACACTATCATCACTGTTTGAGCTATCATTTGGGGAAAACAAAAGACCTCCAATCCGCCGAGGAGTGAGGAACTTCTTACCGCGAGGCATGGTGAAAATGGAATACCAAGATGGCGTTCCCACAATGCACCGCTGAGTCCCAGATTTTTTCACAGGGTGCACACCGACCACTGAGACCCATTCTCTCTCGTGTAGGCCTACCAGCCCTCTCCCGCTTGATTTGAAGCCACTAGAATTTATGCGTATAGATACGTCAAACAGGGTTTATCTCCCATGACGTACATATACGACCGCGACATTCAAGGGTTAAATGTGACTGTGAAATAAGCCACCATGGGCCCCAAAAAAAGTTTCTAGTAAAGTTCCTTGGGTAAAGAAAGTGAGAAACATGATGGGGAAATTTAAGAAAGAAGTTTCTGAAAATATGGGGAGTGGTGTGTGGGTGCTCCAGCTTGCCAGGATGTATGCAAAAAAATCGACATCATTCTGTCTTGGCAAGGAAAGAACAAATCAAGGAAGCTGATGTGGGGAAAGGGTAAACATGTTAACGAAAAAGCAATCACAAACAATGGAAAATGTGGAGAGAGGCAGGGAGTGTAGCAGGCATGCAGGGAGTGTAGTAGGCATGCAGGGAGTGTAGCAGGCATGCAAGGAGTTTTAGCAGGCATGCAGGGAGTGTAGCAGGCATGCAGGGAGTGTAGCAGGCATGCAGGGAGTGTAGCAGGCATGCAGGGAGTGTAGCAGGCATGCAGGGAGTGTAGCAGGGATGCAGGGAGTGTAGCAGCATGCAGGGAGTGTAGCAGGCATGCAGGGAGTGGTAAGGGCATGCAGTGAGTGTAGCAGGCATGCAGGGAGTGTAGCAGGCATGCAGGGAGTGTAGTAGGCATGCAGGGAGTGTAGCAGGCATGCAGGGAGTGTAGCTGGGATGCAAGGAGTGTAGCAGGCATGCAGGGAGTGTAGCAGGGATGCAGGGAGTGTGCAGGCATGCAGGGGTGTAGCAGGCATGCAGCGAGTTAGCAGGCATGCAGGAGTTGTAGCAGGCATGCAGGGAATGTAGCAGGCATGCAGGGAGTGTATCAGGGAGGCAGGGAGTGTAGCAGGCTTGCAGGAAGTGTAGCAGGCAGGCGGGGAGTGTAGCATTCAGGCAGGGATGTAGCAGGCATGCAGGAGTGTAGCAGGGAAACAGGGAGTGTAGCAGGCATGCAGGGAGTGTAGCAGGGAAACAGGGAGTGTGGAAGGGAGGCAGGGAGTGTAGCAGGCATGTAGGAAGTGTAGAAGGCAGGCAGGGAGTGTAGCAGGGAGTTAAGCAGGGAGGCAGGGAGTGTAGCAGGCAGGCAGGGAGTGTAGCAGGCAGGCAGGGAGTGTAGCAGGCAGGCAGAGAGTGTAGCAGGCAGGCAGGGAGTGTAGCAGGGAAACAGGGAGTGTGGCAGGGAGGCAGTGTGTGTAGCAGGCAGGCAGGGAAGTAACCCCAGAGAGGGCTTTAATACCTGAAGTCCTTATGGAGGGGGGATTCCCCTTCCAAACAATAATCAGTCCTCACCTTTCTCCTCCTCCCTGTCTTCTATAAGCCAACAAGAGTCTTCAGTAAAGGTATGTAAAAAATAGTGATTTAAATGTTCATTTATTTATTTTATTTAGTTCTCATTGTTTTGTGTATATAAAACTATAATTAATCTTTAAAAAATGTATTTTTTGTTAATATTTTTGTGTCTCTGGAACAGATTAATTGTATTTACATTAATTCTTACAGGAAATATTGCTTCAAATATAGGCCTTTTCGAATTTAGGTCGACTTTCTGCAACGGCTTACTGCCGATATTCAGGGTTCCACTGTATATCACTACAGTAATTTGGCTAATATTGACATTCATCAGAAATAATGATTAGAATAAGAAGTGAGTTGGATGAAGGCAGGCCAGTGAGCTGGATAATTGAAACTATGAGTAAAAACTTTGGATAACCGAAAGCTGTGAAAATGGATGCTTTCAGATTTATAGGGACTGCTTACTATACAGAAGAGACCCTGTCACCCATATGGCTGACAAAAACAGGAAAGTTAGTACAGTAATTATATTTGTGTGTACACATATAGACAGTTGTGCTGCTGTGGGTGTTGTTAACATACTTTGTATGAACATTCTGTATTTGTTTAATCTGTATACCAGGTCCCCGTTTATTGGAAATTAAGCGTTATTCAGCTGCTGCTCAGCTGTTCCTTGCTGGTGACCAAATTAAGGAGGCTATTGATGCTTTCATCATGGGTCAGGAATGGGGTAAAGCAAAGAAAGTTGCAAGAGAACTAGATCCTCGGTAAGTGTTTACTGTTTTTTCTTAATTGCCAATAATTAATCGTGTACAATACTTGTTAGGAATGATACACAATTAAAATATATTACAATTTAAAGAAATCACTTAACACAATAAGTACTACAGTATATTCATATTACTATAGTTTACACTTGTAGAGTGGGCAGTGTGAGTTTCTTGAGTATAAATATGTTCTGCACATTTTGTAAAATTCTAAAAGGTTCACAGATATCCAACCACGTGAAAGAAATGTGCTTTCATATCTCATTCTGTGTTCTGCATTGAGTGGGTAATGACACTCTATCTAGTAGCCTAGCCTATGAAAAATAAGATAAAATAAAAAATCGATCTGATGGAGTGACACAACCACCAGAGCACCACCAACAGAGGCTACATTAGAACAGACTTGATAGTGATTCCTTCCTGTTCTGTCTTGAAGCTAAATTTCAAAAAAGGGGAGAAGAACTCTTCTAATGAGGTCAAAAGGACAAAGGGTTTTGAGTATTCAGATTCGAACCAAGGAAGGGGGGGATGTCCATTTCTTTGGACCAAGAGCCCCTTCAGTGTTGCAAGGGAATCTCTTTGAAGGATTACTGTGGGAGAGTAGAAAAGTGCTCAGTATATTACTATAAGTGGAGAATTTCCTGTTTTCTTTGTGTACATTAATTTCATTTTATAAAATATCTTCAAACTCAGGTCACAGTAATTTCCTGTCACATGTGAATTAACAGTAGTAGTAATTTTTCCATTAAGCTATATTTTGAAAGTTACAACTTTCATAACGTTATCCTCTTATCTCCTAATTTATCTGTACATTTTTATTTCTCAGATATGAATCCTATGTTGATTCAGCATACAAAGACTTCTTGAAGAATGAAGGAAAAGCTGAGGCTCTAGCTGATGTAGACTTGGCCGGTGCCTTAGAAATGTATGTTGAGGCTGGGCAATGGTCCCGGGCCCTGGAAACTGCTGCTTCCCATGGCCCAGAGCTTCTACATAAATATCTTGCAAAGTATGCAACGAGTCTCATCAAGGTAGGATAAAGCTGAGGAATAAACATAATCTGGCTATGTAATTCATATATTTCTCATATATTTAAATGAAATATCTGTGATTAACTCGTGTCATCTTTATCTCTTCAAGAACTCCTTCAGCATCTGAAACTTTATTTTGTTGATACAACATCTTCAGTCTAGAGTACTGTTCCATTGTTTCATTCTCATTTCCCCTATCTTGCAAAATTTATAGTGGAGATAATTAATGCACAGAGTGATTTCTGTACAAGCCTCATTGTCTTCACAGTAATACAGTACAGTATAACCCTTCCTAAACTTCAGCTTTTGGGTAGTACGTTATTTATTGAGGGTGAGCGGGTGATCTTAGGACAGCTTTTAGACATTTTATTTAATCTCAGAAATGTACACTAGTTAAATATATTTATATTACGGTTTAGAAATGTCATTTAAGTAATTAAATATACAATGTTTTACTTTAATGTCATGGCATTTGCAGGATGGTCAAGCTGTTGAAGCTCTAGGTTTTATATAAGCAGTATGGGGCTCCAGCTTTTGCACAGAACTACAACATAAAACCGACGTTTAGCCTTAGATTTGATGAGTATGCACGAGTTTGTGTTCAGCACAGGCCTATCGAACCTGGGCAGATCTGCGAGACCTCCTCTTCTCATTGGTAGAAAACCTAGGCAACACGAAGATACAGATGGCGTTATGGTAAGATTTTTACTTTTTGTAATTTATATAGAAAGACCTCTAATAAATATTGATAAATTCCACACATGACTGAATATCCATATCCAACCATTCCCTGTTATGTACTTCAGATAATCAAGAGCCTGTTGTGTACAAATACAGGTCTTATGTAAATTATCTTAAATAATATATATATTTTTTTATATAAATAACATATTACTTTGATGAGGAACGGGTTAAGCTTATTTTTTAAAGGCTTAATTTGTTATCACTTATTTCAGAGAGAATTTGAATTGCTGTTACTTCAGGCCCATTATCTTGCAGCACGGTCATCTTACAGGGCCCACATCACAGCTAGAAACACTAGTTGCAAAGTGTCAGTCTCACTGCTACGTCACACCTGATATTTTTACCAGCAGATAAAGCTTTCTATGAAGCGGGAATGGCTTGTAAAGTATGTGTAATAGTATATACTGTATTTGCTTTTTTTTTTTACAGTATTAAAATTAAGTCGAGTTCAGTTCACTCTACCATATTCAAATTTGTGAAAGTATTGTATTGTGTAGCACAGAATCTCAGAAACCTCAGGGTTGGCAATATGGTTGGAAGGGATGCTAGGAGACATTGTTTTGAAGCATTATTATTTTTTTTTTTTTTTTTTTTAATAAGTCGGCCATCTCCCATCGAGGCAGGGTGGCCCAAAAAGAAAGAAAAAACATTATTATTATTACTATTTTTATTTGGGAGGACTGAAGGAATTTGGGGAAAGTTAACCCCAAACCCTCCCTTGGCTTTGCTATTCAGACCTTGATAGGAAGTGAATGTACAGTGGACCCCCGGTTAACGATATTTTTTCACTCCAGAAGTATGTTCAGGTGCCAGTACTGACCGAATTTGTTTCCCATAAGGAATATTGTGAAGTAGATTAGTCCATTTCAGACCCCCAAACATGCACGTACAAACGCACTTACATAATTGGTCGCATTCGGAGGTAATCGTTATGCGGGGGTCCACTGTATTTAGATATTTGGAGGGGGACATGTCAGTAGATGGGTCTGTGAAAGATGAGGTGAACTGTACAGTAGATATGGGTACAAAGAAGGAAGGTGGTGTGTTGAGGTATCTGTGGAAAGAAAAATTTATCTTGGAGGAAAAGATAAATCTAAAGTATGAGCTTTAAACACTGCAGTAAGGGGAAGGCTAGATGCCATGGAGATGTTATACGTAGGACCTATGTGTGATGTAAATATTATGCAGAAAATTCCAGTCATAGAAATAAGAAGACAGTATGGGGTTACGAGAGGTAGCAGAATAGGATGATCAAAAGGGTGTATAAATATGGGGTGGTAGGATGGAGAGGGTAGGGCTCGTACCAGAACGGATACGGGCTCTTCCCTGCTTGAGCATCCAGCAGGCTTGTATGTTTGTGTGTTAGAGTGGAGACAAGTGGTTTTTATGGATTTACATACTGTTGATGTGTATGCTAGGTAAGATTTATGAAAGGATTCAGGGAAACCAGTTAGCCAGACTTGAGTCATGGAGGTAGGAAGCAGAGTGCCTGCAGTCTGAAGGAAGGGGTGAGGATGGTGCAGTTTGGAGGGTCATTTGAATTGTGAAGTCTGCCCACTTTTGGCAAGACAGCTGTGGAATAAACGATGGTGAAGTGTTTCCTTTTTTTTTTTTTTGGCGGGGGGGGGGGAGGTCACCTTATCTTAGTAGGAGATAGCCAGTATGTTCAATAATGAAATATATAAATAACTGATATGCCTCTGAAGATATTCTTTTAATTCTTATATAGTAATATAGCAGCTAAGATTACTCCTTTAAATTTCAGGAAGTAGGATGGAAAAACATGGCATTTGTATTCTTGAACCGGTTTTTGGACTTGTGTGAGGCCATTGAGGAAGGTTCACTGGATTCTCTTGATCATACTGACTTCATAGATACAGATATTCCATATGAGATTCCACTGCCTGAGTCTCTAACTATACCTGAAGCTCTAAGGGAAGAGGCCAAGGAATGGGTGTTAGCAGTGTCAATGGACCAGCAAGTAGAACAGGTAAATTTTGTGTTTTCATAATTTCTGTCTTTGTTAATTTTTTTTTTTCTCAACAAGTCGGCCATCTCCCACTCTCACTCACACATTATCACTGTCTTTACAGAGGCACCCAGATACAACAGTTTAGAAGCATATATAACATACCCCTCCAAACTGCCAATATTCCAAGCCCCTCCATTAAAGTGCAGGCATTGTACTTCCTATTTCCAGTACTCAAGTCTGGCTATATAAAAATAACCAGTTTCCCTGAATCCCTTCACTAAATATTACCCTGCTCACACTCCAACAGCTCGTCAGGTCCCAAAAACCATTCGTCTCCATTCACTCCTATTTAACACCCTCACACATGCTTGCTGGAAGTCCAAGCCGCTCACCCATAAAGCTTCCTTTACCCCCTCCCTCCAACCTTTTCGAGGACAATCCCTACCCCGCCTTCCTTTCCCTACGGATTTATATGCTCTCCAAGTCATTCTACTTTGATCCAGTCTCTTTAAATGACCAAACCACCTCGACAACCCCTCTTCAGCCCTCTGACTAATACTTTTAGTAACTCCACACCTCCTCCTAATTTCCACATTCCGAATTCTCTTCATAATATGTACACCACACATTGCCCTTAGACAGGACATCACTGTCTCCAGCAGTCTCCTCGCTGCAGCATTTGCAACCCAAGCTTCACACCCATATAAGAATGTTGGTACCACTGTACCTTCGTACATTCCCTTCTTTGCCTCCATAGATGACGTTTTTTTTTTTTTGTCTCCGCAGGTACCTCAACACGCCACTCACCTTTTTTCCTTCAATTCTTTGGTTAACCTCATCCTTCGTAAACTCATCCGCTGACAAGTCAACTCCCAAATATCTGAAAACATTCACTTTTTCCATACTCCTCTCATCAATGTGATATCCAATTTTTCTTTATCTAAATCATTTGATACCCTCATCACCTTACTCTTATCTATGTTCACATTCAACTTTCTACCTTTACACACCCTCTCAAACTCGTCCACTAACCTTTGCAACTTTTCTTTAAAATCTCCCATAAACACAGTATCATCAGCAAAAAGTAACTGTGTCAACCCCCATTTTGTGTTTGATTCCCCATAATTTAATCCCATCCCTCTCCCCAACACCCTAGCATTTACTTCTTTTACAATCCCATCTATAAATATATTAAACAACCATGGTGATATTACACATTCCTGTCTAAGACCTTCTTTTACCAGGAAGTACTCTCCCTCTCCCCTACACACCCTAACCTGAGCCTCACTATCCTCATAAAAACTGTTTACAGCATTTAGTAACTTACTACCTATTCCATACACTTGCAACATCGCCACATTGCTCCCTTATCTACTCTATCATATACCTTTTCTAAATCCGTAAATGCAGTGAAAACTTCCCTACCTTTATATAAATACTATTTACATACATGCTTCAATGTAAGCACTTGATCTACACATCCCCTACCCACTCTAAAGCCTCCTTGCTCATCTGCAATCCTACTCTCTTACTCTAATTCTTTCAGTAATATCCCTACTGGTATACTCAGTAAACTTTTTTTTTTTTTTTTTTTTTTTTTTTCTCAACAAGTCGGCCGTCTCCCACCGAGGCAGGGTGACCCAAAAAAAGAAAGAAAATCCCCAAAAAGAAAATACTTTCATCATCATTCAACACTTTCCACCACACTCGCACATTATCACTGTTTTTGCAGAGGTGCTCAGAATACAAACAGTCTAGAAGCATACACATATAAAGATACACAACATATCCCTCCAAACTGCCAATATCCCAAACCCCTCCTTAAAGTGCAGGCATTGTACTTCCCATTTCCAGGACTCAAGTCCGACTATATGAAAATAAACTTATTCCCCTATAATTTTTACAGTCTCTTTTGTCCCCCTTCCCTTTATATAAAGGAACTATACATGCTCTCTGCCAATCCCTAGATACTTTCCCCTTTTTCATACATTTATTAAACAAAAATACCAACCACTCCAACACTATATCCAACCTGCTTTTAACATTTCTGCCATGATTCCGTCAGTTCCAGCTGCTTTACCCCCTTTCATTCTATGTAATGCCTCGTGCACCTCCCACACTCACATCCTGCTCTTCTTTACTCCTAAAAGATGTTATACCTCCTGGCCAGTGCATGAAATTGCCACCTTCCTTTCTTCATCGACATTAAAAGTTCCTCAAAATATTCTCGCCATCCACCTAATACCTCCATCTCCCCATCAGCTAACTCCCTACTCTGTTTTTAACTGACAAATCCATTCTTTCCCTAGGCTTTCTTAACTTGTTATCTCTCCCACTTTATCATACTGCTCTCCTTTTGCACACTCTCACCACTCTCTTCACCTTTCTTTTACTCTCCATATACTCTGCTCTTCTTATAACACTTCTTTGTAAAAACCTCTCATGAGCTACCTTTTTCTCTTTTATCACACCCTTTACTTCATCATTCCACCAATCACTCCTCTTTCCTCTTGCACCCACCCTCCTATAGCCACAAACTTCTGCTCCACATTCTAATACTGCATTTTTAAAACTATTCCAACCCTCTTCAACCCCTTCCCCCCACTACTCATGCTTGCACTATCCCACCTTTCTGCCAATAGTTGTTTTATATCTCGCCCTAACTTCCTCCTCCTTAGTTTATACACCTTCACCTCGCTCTTACTTGCTGTTGCCATTTTCCTCATGTCCCATCTACCTCTTACTCTAACTGTAGCTACAACTAAATAATGATCCATATATCATTGCCCCTCTATAAACATGTACATCCTGAAGCCTACCCATCAACCATTTTTCCACCAATACATAATCTAACAAACTACTTCATTACATGCTATAATCATACCTTGTTATACTTATCCTCTTTTCATAAAATATGTATTACTTATTACCAAACCTCTTTCTACACATAGCTCAATTAAAGGCTCCCCATTTTCATTTAACCCTGGCACCCAAATTTACCTACTACTCCCTCCACAACATTTTTACCCACTTTAGCATTGAGATCCCCAACCACAGGTACTCTCTCCTCTACACTTCTCTCTTCTCCAGGTGCATAAATGCTTACTATAACCCACTTTTCACATCCAACCCTTATTTTACACCACATAATCCTTGATTTTATACATTTATATTCCTTCTTTTCCTGCCATAACTTATCCTTAAAATTATTGCTACTCCTTCTTTAGCTCAAACTCTATTTGAAAACCCCTGACCTAATCCCATTTATTTCTCTCCACTGAAACTCTCCCACCCCCTTCAGCTTTGTTTCACTGAACTCCAGGACATCCAGCTTCTTCTCATTCATAACATCCACAATCATCTCTTTCTTATCATTCACACAACATCTACGCACATTCAAACAGCCCACTTTGACGGTTTTCTTTTTCTTTTTAGTAAGCTATGCAGGAAAAGGGATTACTAGCCCAGTGTTCCTGGCATTTTAGTCGACTTTTACAACACACATGGCTGACAAAGGGAAGATTCTTATTCCACTTCCCCATGGATATGAAAAGAAAGCAATAAGAACAAGAACTATTTGGCTAAAATCAAAGAGAAAACTCAGATGAGTGTGTATGCAACAAATGTGTACATGTATGTGTAGTGTGACTTAAGTGTAAGTAGAAGTAGCAAGTTGTACCTGAAATCTTGGTGTTTATGAGACAGAAAAAAGACACCAGCAGTCCTACCATCATGTAAAACAAATACAGGCTTCCTTTTTACACTCACTTGGTAGGACGATAGTACCTCCCTGAATGGTTGCTGTCTACCAACCTACTACCTACAAAATAAATTAAATGAATTAGGGACATTCTCCTCACCATTTCTCTTTCTCTCAACTGCACTCCTGTTAAAATGTGGAGATTGATGTGTGTAAATTCTTGTAAAATATGGACGCTCTTTGAAGACTACGCTAATATTAAAGTAAATTATAAATAATTTATGAACAAAACTTTTCTTTAAGTAAGTCGAGCATAAAATTCATTTAATATTTTATTGTATTACATAAGCTTTAATAAGTTCATTATGTTGGGTTTTGTGAATAAAAACAATTGTTGATAGTTGTTTTTGCAAAATCATAAACATGTATAGGTAATCTGATTTTAAAATTGAACTTCTCAGATTTTGCCCATGGAATGAGCGAATGGTTTATGAAGCTTCCCTGATAGGTGCAGACAACACTACCTACCCTCCTTGTGTTATCTCTGGCTATCCAGTTATTCGGAATCGCATTGATCTTAAGCATGGGCAAGCAGCCAACAAGGAAGATTGGAATAAACTTATCATGGCTACTAAGATGTCAAGTGTCCCAGAATGTCAGGATGTACTTAAGTTTATAACTGCATGGTGTGGTGGCCTTCCCAATATGGGATACAATTTTCAGTAATTAAAATATCTAGTAATTGAAGATGACTAATGTGATCTATTATCAGTAAACTTTGATATAACTGACCTTTGTGTAATGGACTTTGGAAATATGGAACAAAATCTACTAGGTCAGTAGGTTTGGAAACAGTGGACAAAGTCCATTGTTTCCATATCAAAACAATAGATGAAGTCCATGTTTACAGAACTGTCCTTTATTATTACTATCATGGCACTATAATATCTTACTTTTTTTTTTCTATTTTTAACATGCTGGCTGTCTCCATCACAATTGCCATTACTGGCCACCTGCTTTTCCCTATTTTGTCAGTTTATATTGCGGGTTTACTGTATTATAATAAAAACAAAGTTATGCAATATATATATGTACTATACTGTACAGTGGACCCCCGCATAACGATCACCTCCGAATGCGACCAATTATGTTAAGTGTATTTATGTAAGTGCATTTGTACGTATATGTTTGGGGGTCTGAAATGGACTAATCTACTTCACAATATTCCTTATGGGAACAAATTCGGTCAGTACTGGCACCTGAACATACTTCTGGAGTGAAAAAATATCGTTAACCCGGGGTCCACTGTATATTGTATGGAGTTTACATATACTGTATTGAATAGACTTCATTTTACAAAAAAATATTACTGTGATTTTTCACTAGTCATAAATATAGATACACGTTTAATAATGCATAAAGAATAGATCAGATCTGTGGAGAAAATATACAGTCAAGCCTCTGTATTTGTTACATCCTCACAGGTTACCATCAGTCATTCATGGTAAAAGCCAACTCCTAAAGAGTTGGCACCTTATAGGTTGACAATATTAGCTCATACCATTGTATTACTTGTACACCAGTAGTACAGTGCCAACTACCTCCCTGATGGGTTTTAGATGCTAGCAAACACTGTTGTAGAGTAAGGCATGAGGGGTGTGTGGCAAATAGGAAGGGCTGGCAGGTGCTGTGTTTGTGTTGAGGCAATTTCAGTCCCTAGCTCACTGCCTCAACACCAACAGCACTTGCCATCCTTCACACATCCTGCCTACCACAATTGCACCACACTTTGCTGGAATCTCAACACCCATGAGGTACTTGGCAAGTCATTACTGGTGTCCATGGCTGACACATTCGCTGTCAGATCCTGCTTTAGTGTTCTAGAGTACTTCTGATTTTTTTTTCTGTAATCGTAGGCAGTGGCGTTGCTAGGGTTGGTGTCACCCGGGGCGGCATCATTGGTGTCGCCCCCATGAAATCCAAGGGTGGGGGATGGGGGGGGAGTAAACTCCAGTTACATCAATACTGCATCCCAGTGACTAATGCTTAGCAGTGAGAATGTTTAAGGGCCATAAACCGAACAGGAGAATACTTCTCAATTTTATTAATGTTAAAATAATGAATAGTAGTAATACAGTCGACCCTTTACTTGCGAGCGCATCCATGTGCGAGTTTTTCCAAATACAATCAGTCAGCTTTTTGCTTCCATACGTGAGCAAAATTTCCAAAAGTGGGCAGGCCTCAAGGGAGGTTCCTTGATGCTGGTGAGGGGCTCTTGCTCTTGATCTAGGGAATTGGATCTCATTTGTTTATTGGACTATCTTATTAAAAACTTGGGCAATGAATGATGGAAAGATGCTCCTTAATGTGCACCTCTTATTGAAACTTGGGCAATGTATGATGGAAAGATGCTCCTTAACGTACACCAAAAATGAAAGAAACCGGACTATAAATAATGGATGGGAGGCAATTAGCCTCCCCTTAGCGGTACAGTAGAGCCCCGCTTCTCGGCATTTCGCCTTACGGGGTTCCACTAATATGGCGATCTCAAATTATGACCAAAACTTTCTATACGACAAGTGGTCTTTCAAATACGGCGCGGACCACCCGGTTTGTTTACATTCTCCATGAGCACATATCTCTATTATGTAATAATAATAACTCTTGGGTACATTAAATGTCTAATTTTATGTCAGTATAGACATTTTCATTAATCCATCTATGATGTTTTCTTCAAAATTATATAAGAAACACATTACATAACATATAAACATTTTATGCTTATACACTATGGAGGTGTGGTAGCCGGGCAGAGGGAAAACATTACATCACTCCCCATAATACATAACGCTTTTGTTTACAATTCTCGGCTTGAATTATTCATTACGTCTCCCTTTGTTTGTGATGGCATCTAAAGGTAGTTGTTACAAACGATTAAACTCAGTGACATGGTATGTCAATGGTAATAATATGGCTCTAGGCCACAATAAATATCGTGTAGCTATGTAGGTAGGTGTAAGTATGTAGCCCAGGCAGACTACGTACCTACATTATTAATTATAACTGATACGTATGTGTACTTGTACCTAAGTAAACTTACACACTGTGCTGGCATGCAGGTACACATTAAAATCACTAAGAGTGTCTTATTAGTCTTGAAGATCCCATATTAATAATAACACAATAATCACTAAGGAGCAATAAATAATATAAAATGTTAATATAGACATTTTGCTTAATCCATCTAAATCACCTACAGTAGAATAAATTAACATAATTATGAGATGTGGTAGTACCAACACTCTTATATGGATGTGAAGCTTGGGTGGTAAATGCAGCAGCGAGGAGAACGGTTGGAGGCAGTGGAGATGTCCTGTCTAAGGGCAATGTGTGGTGTAAATATTATGCAGAAAATTCGGAGTGTGGAAATTAGGAGAAGGTGTGGAGTTAATAAAAGCATTAGTCAGAGGGCAGAAGAGGGGTTGTTGAGGTGGTTTGGTCATTTAGAGAGAATGGATCAAAGTAGAATGACATGGAAAGCATATAAATCTATAGGGGAAGGAAAGATGGGTAGGGGTCGTCCTCGAAGGGTTGGAAAGAGGGGTAAAGGAGGTTTTGTGGTGAGGGGCTTGGACTTCAGCAAGCGTGCATGAGCGTGTTAGATAGGAGTGAATGGAGACGAATGATACTTGGGACCTGACGATCTGTTGGAGTGTGAGCAGGGTAATATTTAGTGAAGGGATTCAGGGAAACCGGTTATTTTCATATAGTCGGACTTGAGTCCGGGAAATGGGAAGTACAATGCCTGCACTTTAAAGGAGGGGTTTGGGATATTGGCAGTTTGGAGGGATATGTTGTGTATCTCTATACGTATATGCTTCTAAACTGTTGTTTCTGAGCACCTCTGCAAAAGCAGTGATAATGTGTGAGTGTGGTGAAAGTGTTGAATGATGATGAAAGTTTTTTCTTTTTGGGGATTTCTTTCTTTTTTTTTGGGTCACCCTGCCTCGGTGGGAGACGACCGACTTGTTGAAAAAAAAAAAAAAAAAATGAGATGTGGTAGCCAGGCAACTTGTAGGACTTGTGGTGAAAACCAGACACATTCATCTGATTTGTTTACATTATGTGTAGGTGGGGTTGGGAGGGCTGACCTTCCTGGCTACCCATACTTCCCAACTTTACTTCATACAAATAAAACTCACCTCTCACTGTACATTAAGACTACAAATATTTTAAGGTAATTAATGAGTGTAAATATATATGCATTTTATCGCTCTAGGGAGCGTAGGTATAAGTGGCCAGGCAGGATGCCATACCTTCCACACGGCTTTCTACAAATAAATACTTTTCACCTCTCACCCTACATTAAGACCATTAAGACTACAAATATTTTAAGGCAAGTAATGCGTGTACTGTATATGCATTTTATCGCTCTAGAGAGCTTTAAGCATCGTATTATAGTAGTGTGGGTGGGGTGGCCAGGAGGGCTACCACACCTGACTTCTTAGAGTAAATACTACTCACCTTCTGCCCTACATTAAGACTACAAATATTTTGAGGTAAATAATGAGTGTACTGTGTGTGTATTTTACTTTTTAATGTCTAGTTCTATTGCTAACTTAATATATGTTAAACTTGTTATCTGGCATTTATAAATGGAAAAAATGGAGTTCTGCTTTCTGGCGGTAGCCTGGAACCTAACCTGCCAAATAAGTGGGGGCCCTACTGTATTTTTGTATGATTTATATGGTTGTATTCTCATTTTTGTGGTCTCATTTGATAGAATGGAAGATATATTACAGATATAGATATGATTTTGATTGGTTTTCACAATGAAAAGTACCTTGAAATTGAGCTTTCAAAGTAGCAGAATTGTTCAGTTCTTTGGTGATGTTCAAGAGTAAACAATATGCAGTCATGAATGGATTGACATTATTTATACAATTATTACAATAATGCAGTAGTCTGCATAACAGTACCTCTTCAAAGGGGGGGGGGGCTCCTTGACATGGCAAAGAGGCTCTTGGTTTCAGGAATCAAATCCCTTGGTCTCCTTCCTTAGACCGAGTCTAAGTATCCCCCAATCCTCCCTTCGTCCCCATACCCCCCCCTTTTCTTCCCCTTCCCTCCCCTCCAACCTTCCCCTTTTTCCCGTCCTGTTTGTAGCCTCTGGGGCCCCTTCCCTCTGGCATTACAGTTTCTAGGTTTCTTAATACTGTCCTATCAGAGCATGCAGAATTCACTTTTGACATCTGTAACACCCTGGGACGCTCACTGACTGACCACCTTGCTGAATAATCCCACTTTTTAGACAGGCTCGTTGACATTTTAAGAAACTAATCTTTGCACATACTTGGACATTAATTTTGCACCTGCACTAACCCCCTACCTTTACACACCACAGTATTGTGTGAGCCACGTAGGGTTACTGCTTTTTTTAATGCAAAGTCATCTTGGAAAAGGTGTAAATTTTTATGTGAGAAAATGATACATTTGGGTTGTTTCATTTCCCACTGATGCATAGGACAAAACATGGGTATGCTATCTATTAAAACCCCAGGAATCCAAATGGCCTGTTATCCCGGGTGTAATGGGAGCAAAATAAACACAGCAGAAAAAGTTTAGACTTGTATTATCCTTCACCAATTTAGAACAGCAATATGTACACTATGTACAGTGATAAGTATAGTGCACTCCACGGTAAGCAAGGCAGAAATAGAAGCCACAAGATAGCAGACCGTGTTTCTCAACCAGCTCTAGATGGGAATGAAAAGGGGCAGACAGGAGAGCAGTACCCACATAACCTCTGAGATTGCCAAAACCATCTTCTTATTGGCTAGAACCTGGTCACTAGTTGAACGACGGGGCCCCATCATCAACTCTTAGCAACCTGGTTCGCTGGTTGGGGGAGATAGCCTGTAAATGAGGGTGTGTACATGCGCCGAATAAAGGTTACGTACTCTTTGCATGCCACACCCCCACCCCGAGAAGGCTGAGGATTAGGCTGCCACCTCCCAGTGGTAACC